ACAATAGAGTAATTACTTCATAAATAATGTCTTATGATGAATTTTTACATTTTGAATTTTTTTGCTGTATTTTTAAGTATGCTGTGTGTCAGCCTACACAATTAATTTCAACACAGTATGTCTACAGAACATAACACAAACGATTAAAATTATAACCATGTAAGATTTTTATGTAGGTGTGTGAATATAGAATAGGAAGAAACAAAAATCGTAAATTGATAGATTAGGGGGTAGAACTGTGGGTAATTATCAATTAAGTTTTTGGTTTTGAACAACTATAATTATCTGTACAATATTTAAAAAATAAAGTGGCAAGGCCATGGTAAGGTTGTAAACTGAATCCATGAGCCACACAAGAAAAACTGCCACGTTGTCTCACTTCTTATTTCTACAATCACTTTTCACTATCTCTATGAAGCTTTTCCTAATCCCAATAATTTTATGTCATTATTCTACATCCTTCCAACTAATCAAGAAGTTCAAATGGAAACTATCTGCATGCATTCAATTAACGCGCAATATTACCCCCTGAGCTTTCACATCCTAGGTTCATTTTGTAAAGTATAATCCTAAACTTAAAACCACCTCTATATACATGTAGCCTTTCCTCATCATACTATACTCTCATAATTTCTTTTTGGAAATTAATTCATTTGTCATTTTCATGGCAGCACTGGTACTTTCACTTATACCAATTTCACGATCTTAAGGTTTTTTGTTTTGTTTTGTTTTTATGTTGGTCTTCTAGAATGAAGCTGAGATGTTCAGACAGAATTATTAACCATCTTCAGTAGGAAATAATAGTTCCTCTTTGCTTTTAACACCGGGAAATATACCTAAAATCAATGACCTATAATTTTACAATTAACTTTTCATTTACAAGTTTTAAAAATGTGGATTTTAAACCTAATCATTAGCACATGTGGAATTTATGTTGTATTTCTAATTTTCACTGGGAAAAATTAATCAGAAATATAGCAGAAAAAGGATGCTTTGATTTTTGCCTCTGAACAAAACTACATGTAAGAGGCCTAATGTTTTATTGGGACCAAGAAAAAACAACTGAAAATTCTAAATTAATCTAATGTTGATATTAAAAATAATTACAAATGTTCATAACGGAGATGTGTTCATTTCTGACAATTCACAAATATTATTGAGAAACTATTTACCTGCATCACAACCAAATAAAGGCAATATTTGACAGAAAACAAGTTTTCCCCACACATCAGTTCTGACACCATTGTGAAACTGAATGATTAAGAATGAACTTGACTGGTTTCATAGACTTATTAGAAAATAAAAATCAATACCTTCACAAGTATTTCATATTAATAGGCAAAAACAAGTCAGTCTTAATAAATTGTAAAAATTGGGGTGCCTGGGTGGCTCAGTTGGTTAAGTGACTGCTTTGGCTCAGGTCATGGGGATCGAACTCAGCAGGGAGCCTGCTTCTCCCTCTTCTGCTCCCCCTGCTTGTGCTCTCTCTCTCACTCTGTCAAACAAATAAATAAAATCTTAAGAAATAAATTGTAAAAATTAATTCCCTGATATTTTACCACATTCACATAATAATCTAACCCAGAAGGTAGCCAAGCCCTCCAGGACATGAACTAGGAAGCTGAGCTCCTGAGATGAAGGGACACAAATTTCTAGTCAACATGTAAATCGGGGACACAGAATCATTCATAGTAGACTCTCAACTTCCTATTAAATACATTTATTACAGTAGCAAACATGCAATCAGCATGATAAATTTGACCAACTTAAGTTTTTCAGATGTGTTACAGAAAAAAAAAATGCTTTCAACAATAAAAAGATTTTGAAGATGAACTCAACATCAAACTTAGAACTTAAAAATATAAAAATGTAAGCTGTATCTAAAACACCATCATACTACAATTAAATATGAGGAAATACAATCTATAAGTAAATGAAATAATATTGGTTAAAATACATCTCTGTTATGAAAGGCTGACAAATTTTCAGACCATGATAAATTTTATTCTGAGCCAAATGAAAAGAAAAATCACTCTGTCAGCAGAAAATCTGCTCAGGAATAGCTATGTATATAGCATTCCAGCTGACCCTTGAACAACGCAGGGGTTAAGGGAGCTGACTCCCCGTGCATAGTCAAAAATCCATCTATAATATTTGACTCTCACAAAACTTTCCTAATAGCTTACTGCTGACCAGAAAACTGACCAGCTTTACAGGTAACAGTCAATTAACACGTATTCTGTATGTTACTGGTATTATATACTATATTCTTATAATAATACCTAACTTTTTCAATATCATAAAAATATTTCTAGGCTATGCAGTTCTGCGAGTTTTTTCAAATTGTTGTAAATCTCCGAAAAATTTTCTATTATATTTATTGGAAAAAAAATCAGCACATACAAATGGATCAGCACAGTTCAAATCTGTGTTGTTCAAGGGTCAACTGTAACTGGAATGAGTGTAACATCTTCTGCTACTTCACAATGATGTCTGAAAGATTTTTTAAAATTCCTGAAGCACAGTTCTCCTTCAGCATATACATTAAATGCATTTCTACCTAGATTGGCTAAAGAAAGAAAAACCTAAATATCACAAAAAATTTTTTCACATCTGCAGAAAATTTGGAAGAGCATACAGAAATTACCCATAACTCTACCACCAAAAGACAACGACTATTTTATTATTTTTCAGTCTTCTTCCTAAGATTTCTTATAAAGTAAAAACTCCAGTTTGTCACTTAACACTACAATATGTAGACACTCCCATTATTAAAAATTCTACAGGTGTTTTAAAACACTGGTTCTCATTTTGAAATGAGACTTCTTTCCAGCTTATGTGAGGGAATACCAATGGAACCCGAAGCATATGTCTGTTAGATTAGTTAAGACTGGTTGAAAAGCAATTCCACTACAGACTGCATCAAGGTCCTTTGGGTAAAAAATGTAATTTTTAAAAATTAGGGAATTGAAATCTCACACAATTCCTGAGTTTCCAGTGATATATACCTAACTGGTTCTTATTTATCAACCTCATAAACTAAAAATTAATAATGATAATCACTTATAGCTATATTACGCTTTTCCATTTACAAAACTCCTACGTACTATCATTTCATTTTTGTTAGTCTATGAAATAGGTATGTATCTCATATCACTGATGTAGAAAACTGAGGTACAAAGAAATTAAATGACTTAACAAAACTTACCCAATCAACTTAAAAGAACAAGAAATCAGAGGTCTTTTAAATTACCACTATCATTTCTATTTGCGTTAATCTACAATGTTTATATAGGACATAACCGTGAAAGAGACCATATATTTGTTAAAATGCTGTGCTAAAAACTGAAATTAAGCCTTGAAAGAAAATAAGGTAATACTGCATGGTAATTAAGCCAGGTTTGAGAAATTCTGAAAATTAAGGCAACTGCCTCATGTGGGGAGACATATAACTGATTCCATACTGTTCAAAGATTTTTTTAAAAACATGATATAAAAACTCTCAGTCTAGAAATAAGCAAAACAGTATTCTGCTTATGAAGTTACATTCCTTTCTATATCAAGATACCTTATATGTTTTGTGTCTCAGTTCCTTTATGTTTGAAATGGAATAACACTATCTCAGATGGGTGTGGTTAGGATTAACTGACTTAATACACATACATCACTTAGAAATGTGCCTGCCACAAAGTCCCAATTAGTGCTGTAAGCCTTCTTGTTTTTTGTTTCTCCTACTAGAAGGAAAATGCAAGCATACAGTCTAAAACTTCAACGGGGGGGGGGGGGGGGAAGGATTTCACACTTAAGTGCTGATGTTTAAGAATTTATTTAAGAAGATGATCTAACTAAAAACCTGAATGCCAAGCAACTAACTTTAAGTTACACTATGTAGAAATGTGCCTAGAGCTAAAAGAGATCAGTTTGCCAAATATATATATTTTTTATTGTTAGATTATACTTCCACATGCCTGTCAAAGTTTCAGCGTCTTCATAATGACAGGCTTATGGCCATGATTCCACACTTTACTGAAAACCATATGAGAGCAACATTTCAGCTGGACTTAAACATGGAGATCAACGTAAAATAAAAATCTTCCCAGCAATAAGTAACAATCCAACCCATATCCTTCTCACTGCAGTAGAGAAGGAAATGCAATGGAAAAATGTGTTCAATAACTGATGCCAAACTGATTCAAAAATTGCGGTTCGCTGCCTGAAAATAGTACTAAAGGGCGGAGGAGGAATCAGCCTTGCATTCTCTTTCCACTATGATTATTATTCAATAAACAGTTTTGCTCAATTCTGAAATAGGTATTTAAAGGACTGTGGATGGAAAAAAAGTTTTGTCACTTTCTGGAAGGGCTTACCCTTTTAACTCGGAATGCTCCATCTGGGAACACAGCACGTTGCCTTGGGTCAGACTGTCTGACCCAGGCAATCCAGACCACCAACAGGAATAAGAGTAAGGTATCATAAAGGGCATGTCCAGAATCCAAGACTCAAAGCTAACCAGAATCAATGTCATTCGCTTTTGAACCTGAGCACTTTTCACAAAAGATAATTATCGCCACTTGCCTTTAATTGGTTTAAGATGCTATGTAATTATCTTGCCTTTCTACTCTGTCCATCAGTGTAGACTAACTTTAGGGGTCGCACCTCCAAAACTTCTTTTTCCTCCCAAAGATTTTCCCCAGAAGAATCCAATACCAAAACGGAGGCCTTCGTAGCAGGGTCTCGCTTCTCTCTTTTCAGAAAAACCAAAGGCCTTGTCAAAAAGTAAAACCGCGCCAACTCGGGGGGACAACAGGCGGAGCCCACCTTTGCAACTCAACCCAGCGAGTGCTGGGCCAGGTCTGGCCAGGCACCGAAGTGCACCGCACCTCCCCCGCGCATCTGCAGATTCGGCTCACGTCCCGGAGACCCGGCATCCCAGAGGTTCCCCCTGCGCCCCCACCGTCCCTGGGGCTCAGCGCGCCGCACACTCCCCGGGGACCACTCACCTTGCTGGGCTCCGGCGTCCTCGAGCAGCAGGACCAGGATAAGTAGGAGCAGGAGGAACAGAGGCATGGGGAAGGAGGAGGAGGAGTTGGAGCGGGGAGGGAGAGGGCGGGAGAGGGGTAGCGCGGCCCGGGCGGGGGCGGCGGCCGCGGCCCGGACTCGGAAACGGTGAGGGCTGCGCCCGGCTCTCATCACCGCCCGGCTCCCCATCGCGGTGGCCGGCAGTCCGCCTGCATAGTGCGGGCGCCCCGGGCGAGGAGGCGGCGGTTCCAGCGGGAGAGCAAGAGGCAGCGCGCGCTGTGCCCCGCGCCGGGACCCTCTCTGCCCCTCGCTCCGCTTTCGCCTCCTCCTCTTTAGTTCCTTCCCTCAGCTCCCTGCCCCGAGACCCCCAGACCAGAACGCAGGGGAAGAGAGGGAAGGAAGTGGGGTACTCGAGCCGCGAAGGGCGGCTGCGGAGGAGCTAGGGGGACGCGCCTCCCGCACCGCGTTCCTCAACCCGACCCCGACTCGCAGCACACGCCCGGGGCTCCGGCTAGCTGGCAGGCAGACCAGCCGTCCGCTCCCTCGCGCTCCCTCTGGCGCGCATTGACCACGCCTCCTCGGCCCGCCACGGCCAATCCGCAGTTGGCCCCGGTCCGTCTCCCTCCGCGCCTCCCAATCAACACGCTCTCTCCTCGGTCGGCCCGTTAGCTCCCCAGCCCACTCCTTGAGCTCAACCGCCCCTCATCTCTCTCCTCCAATCCCCTGCAGCCTTAGCAAAGCGTCCCACCCGCCTCCCCCAATCCGGGTTCCGCCCCCAAGCTCGGGCCCCCGGCAGCCCCGCCCCGCCCGCGCGCCTGTTATTGTTGGGACCGCTGCCGAAGCTGATGTCGCTCCGGCGGCCGCTAGCTCTGGTCAGTGACTTCCGGGACTTCCCCCATCCCGCTCTCTTTGCTCCTCAGGCCCCGCTTGTTCATTGCTCCTCCCCGCCTCACATCAGGCCACTGGAAGGGGTGGGAAACCAGGATCCTGGATGGTTTTAGCTGGGAGCTGAGGCTAAGAAACCTTTTACAAAAAAATAGAGCGTGTTTTTTTTTTTTTAATTAAAACTACAGCCAGTTGTTGCAGCAACTCCGAGTTAAAATTAAAAAATACAGTGTGCAGTTTTAAAAAAATATGTATTTCTTGTTTCCTTTGCCTTTTACTATATTTACTATATTGGGGGCAGGACCAAAAAAAAAAAAAAACAAACATATAACAAGATCCATGCCCCCAAAGCAGTTTAAACCTAACATCCTAACATTCATTCAGCCATTCTACCAAGATTTGTTGACCACCTGCTATCTGTTTGCAAACCTTATGCTGAGACTTGGGGGATTTACAGCCATAATACAGAAATCTTTCCAGGATCTAGTGTTGGTACAGAGATGGAAATACATCATGAAAGTCAGAGTGCAACAAATGCTAATTAGAGTCACGAGCAATTCGATGGAGACTGTAAGTAAATGCAGTGACAAAAACAACTGGTTTTTGGGAAAGGGGAATCCACAGGAGTAGGCAGTGATTGGTTTAGGAAAAAGGTGCCATCCTGGATGTTTTTAATATGGGCTCTCAAGAAGAGGATGGTGTCGTTAACAAATACAGAAAAGTGGAAAGGTGAATCAGGTTGTATAGGCAAGTGAATTAATTTTGGACATACTGAGATGCTCATCAGCAGCCAGTATTTGAAGTTCTGTAACAGGCAGGTGGACATTTTGGTCTAAAGCTCAGGTTGAGGAGTGCCTTGAAGTTATGGGTAAGAGTAATAAATGGATGTGCTATTCAAAACCATGGAAGGGACTGGTATCTTCAAATGAAAAGCTAAGAGTTGGAAAGGACTCTGGAGGTCATCTTGTTCAACTCCACTATAAACCCCTCATGCATTAAACTCTTCTAACAAATTTATTCAATAAGCATTTATTGGATGTCTGTTAGACCCTACTATGCTATAGGACTAATGTAGGCAATGGACATAAGAAATTCAACAGGAGGAGCCTACATTCTGTGGGGGAGGTGAACAAAATCATTGCTGTCAGTGCCATTTTGGAGGTATAGACTAGTACCACAGTGGAAGGAGTTCAAGGAACCCTTTATGGTGACTATGAAACTCCAGCTGAGTCTTGAATAAAAAGACAAAGTGAGGAAAGTGATCTTCCTCTTGAATAAAAAGACAAAGTGATCTGAAGCTACAGGCAAAGTAGGCTAGCTCACAGGCACCAGGGTCAATCCTGTTGAGGGAGCTCGATGGGGTTAACTACTGCTGATTTGATAGGAGGAGCTGAGAACTAGTCTGGAAGAGTTGATAGGGGCAAGATCTAAGACAGGCTAAGGAGTCAAGATTTTATAACACTGAGAAACAGCTAAAGGGTTCTAAGAAAGAGTGACATTATCAAATTTTTATTTCAGAAAACTCAACCAGGCAGGAGGGTGGGGAATAGATTGGAGAGAGCAAAACTGGAAGCCAGGAAGAACTCATCTGGAGACTGGTTCAGTGACTTGTAAAGGCAGTGACAGTGAACCTGAACTGCGGGGGTAGTGGGCTTAGACGGGAGACTAACATGAAGGATATTTATGAATGTAGAGACTGATTAGATGTGGGGAATAAGGAAGAGTCAAGGAAGATGCTCAGGTTTCTAGGCAGAAGCGTTGCCTTTCACATAGCAAGGGAACATGATAAGGGGAACTGGTCTGGTTGGATATGGAAGTAGAAAATAGTTCATGAGCTCAGTATTGGACATGTCAAACATGAGGTGCTAACATGGCAAGCAGTCAGTCACATACTAAGATTTGTAGTAATAGTCTCTCTGAGACAACCCATCTTGTTTTTTGGACAACTCCTTTCGTAGGGCACTGAATGATAACTTTAAGGCCACAGAAATGGAGACAGAGCCAGGTCTTGTGAATCTCAGGCTGGCATTCTGCTGACTACATGGAACTGCACCAGACAGAGGATTCACCTGTGAACTCTCAGCGTCATGGAAGCCTTGTTGGAACAGGCAAAACCTGGCCTATACTCCCCTCTACTCCTTGATAACACAGCATGAAAAGATGCCAACTATAAATACCTAAAGTAAGACGTAGGAGTACTCACATTTTTTCATCCCTGTTTTACTGACTGGTATTTTAAAGGGTGATTAAAAGTGCATAATAGAGTAGTGAAGAGCTCCTGAATGAGGTCAGTGGCAGGAAAGGGATGAAGGAGGAAGGGGCAAATTGGAGTTATATTTAAAGAGGTGAAATCAAAAGTTCTTGGTGACTGATACTCTATGACAATTGCCATATTTCTATGCTTCAGATTCCTGGGTTTCGCTTTGGTGCTATAGAGTATGGAACTCTGGCTAGAGAACATCTCTGGAGATCCTAGTGCTATATGTCTAGGGGAATTATAGGTATAACACAGATGTGGGAGGTGGTTGATGCTATTTCTGTCCCAATTCCCTCCCCATTACTGAGCATTGTCACTTTACTGAGTTGCAAAAACAATGATAAGATTGCTCTGCGATGATGAAAATCTCCTTGTGGGCTAATGTAATATAACAGGCATTCATTTCTTTTTTTTTTTTTTTTTTTTTAAAGATTTTATTTATTTATTTGAGAGAGAAAGAGAGAATGAGAGACAGAGAGCACGAGAGGAAAGAGGGTCAGAGGGAGAAGCAGACCCCCTGCCGAGCAGGGAGCCCGATGTGGGACTCGATCCCGTGACTCCAAGATCATGACCTGAGCCGAAGGCAGTCGCTTAACCAACTGAGCCACCCAGGCGCCCCCAGGCATTCATTTCTAGGACAATGCCTGGATAGCGCAGAATTATGGTTTACCTTACTCCCTGCATGTTGCTTTAGCCAATTTAGTCATCTTCCTTACCTCTGGGACTTGGGTGTGTTTGGGGGTTAACATCTGCAGAGGCAATAGGAGCAATACTTATCCAGATTCATTTTACCCACATGGCTCAGATGGCTGGGCTAGGTAGGAACTGGGAATTCTAATCAGGACCCAAAATGGATAGGTCTGGAGGAGGCCATCATCATAACAGTTAGAGGCTCCCAGAAGCTCAAGTGCTTCCACAAGGCAAGCCCAGGTCCCAGCTCCTTCCTACAGGGTTTCAAACAGATACGGGTTTTAGAGCTTCCCTTGGGGACAAGCCCAACAGAGAAAACACAAATTGAGCAGTGTCTTCATTGCACAACAGTTTACTGACATATGCTAGGACTAGTAGCAGCCATAGTCATCTGCACTCATTGGTAGATGAACTAATGCTTTGGATGAAGTCTCTGGGGAAGACTAGGGCTTCAGGAAACGAATGCATGGGACAGTTACATATGAAATACCAGGAAATTAAAATGTGTATTGTTTGGATGTATTTACGTTTGTTTGCTCCATGTTAAGAAAAATAAATTTAAAAATAAATAGTCTTTTTTTAAAACATTCTTATTTATTTATTTGTCAGAGAGACAGCACACAAGCAGGGGAAGCAGCAGACAGAGAGAGAAGCAGGCTCCCCGCTGAGCAAGGAGCCCACGGGACTGGACCCCAGGACCCTGGGATCATGACCTGAGCTGAAGGCAGATGCTTAGCAGACTGAGCCACCCAGACGTCCCTAAATATAGATAGTCTTAACCTAAATTTTAATTAACCAGACTTTTTCCCCCTTTTTGTCTTCTCTTTCTTGTTCTTTTTCTTTCTTTCTTTCTTCTCTTAATCAATAATGAGTGGAGGAATACAGAAAATGAATTGACCTATAGAGTAAATGAAAATATGGAAAGAATGTTTACAGCCTGCTATTTCTGCTTCCAAATGAATCCCAGCTCAGCCACTGTTAAGGAAAGGAGAATGGAGAGAAAGAACCCAGGGGCTGCTGCCTTTGCTTCTGTTCGTACAGAAACATCTGGGCTTTAATGGTATGATCCAGTAAGAATCACTGGCACCATCATTGCTATTAAATGTCTGTTAGGCATTAATAAAACAGAAGAGACTCATTTAATATGGCATTTATACTGGAAACCTTGGGATGATGGTATGAAATGAATCACTGGTGGGCTTTATCAGTGAGTGTGTATTTTTGGCAGGATAACAGAAAGAGGGAACAAACGAGAATTTACTTTTGTGATCTTCCAGTGGGATAGGAGAGAGAGAAGAATGTGGCAGTTCTGGGGAAATATTTTAAACTTCAAAGACCAGAGCCCTCAGATCTGGTTACTGTTCTCACAGGAGCATTTTCTTTGTCCTGTTGACTGTTTGGACAAATGTTTGCAACCAAGATTGTTACTAAATGTTTGAATTCTGCTGAGGAGACATTCTTCCTTTTCCTCAACCGAAGTGGTTTGGATACATTTTTTTTCTTTATCTTGTAGCTTCTTTCATTTAATCATTTCATTCAAATGTAACTCTCAGGTTTATTATTCATGTTTTCTTAACATTTGTAAACTATTTAGGTAGTACAGCAAATTTAAGACAGAATTGTTAGGAACCTAATTTATTATAGAAGATATTTAATTTCTGCTAGTAGATAATGGTTAAATACTT